TACAGCAACAAGGCTTCAGAAGGGGGTTAAATAACCTTTAACCCCAATCCAAAGTCTTGCTGCTGTAATAGTATGCAGTACAGGGGATCTCATAGAAGGCTTGACCAGGCAAAGTGGGATTGAGTTCTGATAACGATCTAACTTTGGTCAGGAAGAGTCAGAATATTTTTCTGGAGTGGGAGGAATGAGGTGGGGGTCGGGTGCTTATACATCAATTTTTTCAATTTACTTATAGCCTGCCCAGAACTGAGATTCTTGCAGCCCCAAGAACCAAGAAAGGCACATAAGAATTATTTCTGAGCAGTTTTCTTTATTGTCCCTCACTTATGGACAGATATCTTGCCAAATTAAAGCAGCTACTTGTATTCAAGATATACTTTGACAATTGCTACATAGAAGTTGTCTTACCTCTCTTTCTCCCAACCAAACTATCTAAACACCTCAGCCTCTTGGGCCCCTGGAATGTAGTCCCTCCTTCCTGGGAATCCAAACTACATTCCACTAGATTCCATCTTCCAGTCATTTTTTCTTCAAACTCTGCCAAGTTTCCTCACTAAACACTTTCTTTTCAGCCAGGCAGTGCAGGTTTGGTTCTGTATCTTGGGGATGGAGCACCCCAAAACTTAATGCAACATTGTCTGAACCCTACAAGAATCCAGTCCTGCTCTTGATGGATAAACCAGCTGTGAAACCATCTACTGACTACGTAATGAGGACCCAGATTGTTGGGGGCAATATGCTGACTCTTTAAACTGCTTAGAGAGGACTGTAAAGCACTGCAAAACGGTATATAAGTTTAAGTACTATTGCTATTACAAAGAAGATAAAGAACAAAATATGATAACTATTTGATGCTAAATTGGTAATTTGCTACACACATTACTATTAAAGAGGACTTACTATTTTTATCATAAGGGACACAGAAATCGATCATTTATCTCATTCATATTATAAAATACTGTATAAAATTAAGTTCAATAAATAACCTTAAAAGCTTCAATATTTATGGTATCTGAACTGAAAAAAGAAAGACAAGTACAAATCATTTTGGATGTTAAAGAACTATAAAAGAGTTTAATCAATCTTGATTCTAATGCTTTAGTACAATATTAAAATTAAAAACACCTCAGGTCAGGAAAGCTATATGGGAGATCTGTACTGTATAGCATCAAATGCTACACAGAAGCAGAGAATAAGACTATATTTATCATTCCCACTCTCAGTGCAACCAGCATGTGAAGTAAAAGTTGTATGTCCTGTAACTCAGTTTTAAGAAATGCACTTGCTCTAGATTCAAGCTGATTTTGTATAAGCTCTCATGAATCTGCTCCTATATGCCAAGGCCCTGACATTCAAATATCCAGACCAAGCCATTTTATTGACAACTCCTTACAATGCATCATGACTTCACTTTGCCCAACTAGCTGTAACAAGTGCTTCATCTTCTTAACTGACCACAAGCTGTTATCTACTGCCTGTGTACCAATCAAGACTTTTATCATCACAACATAAAGTTCATGAATATTATGCTTCAGATTTTAAATATTTGATCACAAACTGACATTGGAAATTGTAACTGATGTATGAATAAATCTAATACAGTAAATCTATTTTTAAAACACAGAAAATTCAATAATTCCATTACTTCATCTAAGAAATAAAAATTTAATAAACATGACAACTAAAATATAATTACAACATACTAGGATGTGTTAATATTGTTATCTTCTACAGTCACAGGACATTTCAGAAGCCAAACCAAATATTTGGGCACTGTTTCAACACGTTGTGACAGCATTAGTCCATAACTCATATTAGAATGAAAACACATTCTGTATAAACAGAGTAAGGGAGAACCCATGGCTACTGGAGAAGTAACGTCATGCTACATCTACTCAAGTTCAAAACATCTTTGTAAGGCAACCATGTGAGTAATTTATATTTATCAATGTAGCTCTAAGAATCTTTCTTGTAAACAAAGTCACTTACAATGACAAGTCCAAGATTTATACAAAATATTAACTTCTCCAGCATACGCTAACCATTTTTTTACCATTACTAAGAGAACAGTGGACTAGAAACTAACCAAGGCAACAAAGAAATCCCCCCTTGTGTACACATCTTGGTTATTATGACAGCATGGTATAACTTGCTTTAAAACCATTATTTGATCTGTACGAAATATACAGATAGTCCTATGACCTATGACCGTAATGAGCCTGCCCATTAAGATTGCATGTTGTGACGGTTGTTAAGTGAGATTTCCTCACTTAAAACCCCCCACACCTGGTGATGTGGCCATTAAGAACTAAGCCTCTCAAGGTCTTCCCCATTGAGCTATCCTGTACTGCAGGGGTCCCCAACCACCGGTCCCCGGACCGGGACCGGTCCGTGGATCATTTTTTACCGGGCCGCAAAGCTTGGGCGCCGCCATCTTGTTTCGACAGCGCTTCAGGGTTTTCAGTTGCTTTCAGGTTTTCGGTTGGAAAGTGCTTCCGGTTTTTCAGTTGGAAAGCGGCGTTTGGGTGCTCGCGCCTTAGTTTCGTCGAAGGGGGGGGGCAGCTTCAAACAAAGAGCTGTCCCGATGGCGGTGGAGTCTCACGTTACTCAGGTACCGGTCCATGGAAGAATAAATAATCGTAAAACCGGTCCCTGGTTCGAAAAAGGTTGGGGGCCACTGCTGTACTCCATTTCCTTGGGGTTCCCAAAGCCCTTGGGCCTGCTTCCCAACCTCAATACCAAGTCCTCTTTTGCATCCCAGAAGCTCACCACACGACTTGGGACACCACCTGTCACCCATTACCCATTTACCTTTTGAAGACCTCCAGAGCTCACATTAGGGAATGAGATCACACCACTCCATCCCTCAGTGTTCTTGGGCCATGTCATGAAAAAGGCACTCAAGTGGCAGCCACTTCCATGATCGGGCCAGGGATGGACAGTCCAGGGATGGAGCAATCCGCTCTCATTTTGTAACTTAGTCTGTGCAGTACTAAGGCTTTTTCTGTAGCCCAGGAATGGAATGGCCTTCCTTCCTTACCCAACATGGGCTCCAGAGCTCAAGAGATCTTCAAAATATAGGTAATGGGAGGGGGGGGAGGACCAAAGCCTGCAGGGACCCAATGGGGGATTGGGTGGAAACAAGACCAGGAACTGCAGGGACCCAGCAGGATAGGATGGTGTGGGGGGGAAGATAGGTGGGGGATGCTACAACTTCCCAGCGGTCGGTTATAAGGGCAAATAACATGAAGGTGCTGCAGTGGCCATAACTTCAAAATAAGCCAGTCTTGGCTGGAGTGTATACAGCCCATGGAATAATAAATAAATAATGGAATAATGTTAATTTTCTTCATAAGTAGCAACTACTCTAAGTCATCTCTTCTACTGTCAATTGGAAGGATGCATAATAGTCAGTCATTTTATAATTCTTCAAAAGATAATTAAGTTTTTAATTTGAAGAACTGTGTACTAGAAAATGCAATAAACAATTAATTTACTTAATACTGTAAGTTAACAAACTTTTTCTTCTAAAGTCCAAATGAGGTTTACCAACCTTGAAAGATGACTTAACATTAGCCCACCCAAGTACCAATAGTTGCACATGCTGAGGTGATGGCAATTTAGGTCACTTCAAAGCTAAGTTGCAACCTTACAACTACTTATAACCTCTCCCCTGGTTGATCATGTCACTTACATAAATTCCACCAAACAAAGCTCTGAAGATGCTGGAGTACATGAAGCGTGGAAGTAAGCTCACTACTAAAAGACATTAGCTCAATGTAATCCTTAATACAAACTCGATAATATCAATGTCATACAATTTTGTTCTAATTAAAAAAATACTGCCCGTTGCCTTAGGTGACAAATGTAAAACAAATTACATTTTTTGTTCAGTTTAGGGAAATAAAGCCTTATAATCAAAATGAGGCAGACTCTATTTAAGTTATAAATTTTCAGTAGGAACCAAAAGCTAAATAGAGCTTCTGGAAAGAGAAGATCAAGCATCCTTTCCAGCCATGACCACTCACACTTTTCATTTGCTCAGATCAGCTGCTTTTGTAAGTATTTAACTAAAATTTCCCAAGATGTCTGTGAACTAAACTTTTATTTATAGAATGGATTATAAGTACTTATTTTTTTAAAAAATAAACCATCTCAAGCTCTCCAGGAGAAAGCAATTTAAAAATTTTAATAGATCTGGGAAACATTGACAAAGGTGGAATGGTTCAGTTGTAGTCTTTTCCAGATGTACAAGACCAATCTTCACTATTCTCTTATTTAAAAACAGCGGTAATGAAGACATCCATACAATCAATCAATATCTCTCTCCCTCCCTCTAGATAGATAGATAGATAGATAGATAGATAGATAGATAGATAGATAGATAGATAGATAGATAGATAGATAGACAGATAGAGACAGACAGACAGACAGACAGACAGATATATAAAAAGCACCCCTTATTTTGGTAGACTCATGCTCATGTCTACCAAAATTTTCTAGGAGCAAATGCTCATGCCTACCAAAATAAGGAGTACCTTCAGATACTTAGTCTTAAATCCAAAACCTAGTTCAATAAAAATTCAAACTGTTCTCAAGAAACCATGCTCATGACCTTTTGTTAGTTTATTACTTTTAAGAGAGTATTAATTATTTAATGGACAGGTCCTAAATTCCTGTTTCCCCTTCTCTTTTGTTCATTGTGAGTGGAAGACCTTCTAACAAGGGGGGGGGGGGCGGAGATACTGGTTTGATGCAAACATCCACACTCAGAGGTGTAGGAAGTATTGGTTAGAGGGTTAAGATGGGCTTCTAGCCAGGGTGATCTTTGGGGAGTTGATCCGAGTATTGGTCCCGATGCTTAGTAAAAGAAGGAATCGAGACAATACCATACTCCGAATCAAAAGAGAAGGGACGGGTTTCCCCTTCTATGATCACCCGTCTTTCTGTACCCAAATTTGGAGCCCAGGTTCCACCCCACCATCTCCAGCCAAGCTCACGTGGAAAGCTTTCTCGTCCAGAAGAGGCCGCCGGGCCAAAGCTCCTGAAGCTGAACAGCGCGGCTGAGGTTCAGTTTGATCTGGGAAAGGAGGTAGCTGGCCTCGGCTTCTAGCTTGTCGCCGTAGGGTAGCAGCTTATTGTACACCAGTTCCTTCTGTACGGCTGGAGGCGGTAGTGGTGGCGGTAAGGGAGGCGGCGGCTCGGCACCAACGCCGGCCTCAGCCATGGCCGCCTCCTTCCTGTCCCGTTGGATAACCGCCTGCCTCCCGCCGCCCCGAAGACTCGGCTTGCTGCCGCTGCGGCTTCTTTGCGTCGCCCGTCGGATCGGCCCGGCTGTTGGCTAGCCCCGGCTACCGAACCCGACTGCCTCGAGCGTCTGTCACACAGCGGCTCCTGGTGACGAAGCAACAGAGCGAGCGAACGAACCAAGCAGCGCCGCCGACCTTGTCGCCGTCTCCCGCGGCTGCCGCCCAACACTGCTGGCAGAGCAGGCGGGCGACGCGGAGGTCACTTCCGCTGCGAGGGAGGGGGAGGAGACGAGGATGAGCTCCCTGGAAGGAGAACCGCGAGACTGAGGAGCCGCGAGGCCGGAGAGAGAGAGAGAGAGAGAGAGAGCGTGAAGGGGGCGGGGGCGCGAAGCCAAACCGGCCGGCCGGCCTCCCCGTCCTGGAGGCGTATGGCGGCGTCCCTCCCTCGCGCGCTTTCTGAGGAGGGCAGCCGAAGCTTCCCTCGTTCCAACGGACCTAGCGAGTCCCGGCGCATCCTTAAGCGGCTGCGAGGGTGATGGTTTTAAAACACCTTTCAACCGTGGAAATGAGCCTGGCCAAAATACACTTAATAGGGAGGAGAGGAAAAACCTGGCTCCTACGGGGATCGTAGGTATGACTCGCGGAGGGAGAGGCGAGAGAAAATTAGCCGCCTGGAGGGTGACGCTTTTATAAAAGGCAGCCGGCCAAATTTTCTTCGCGTGGAGCAGGTGAATGAAGGGATCCCTGAGGGCAGGAGAAAGGAAGAGAAAAAGGAGGAGGTGGGTTGAATCGGTAGGAGGATAAATGCCAAGGGGGAAGAACTGAGAAGCTTCCAGAGGGGTGTTTATTGAAGAAGAAGAAAAAATAAAGCTTGTGAGAAGCAGGAAATAAAGAGAGGGTGGAAGGCCAAGGGCAGAAAAGAGGGGTTGTAAGAAAGAGTTTTGAATAGAGCTTATTTTATTAAGAGAGATGAGAAGGGAGCCTAGGATTTGTGGATCAGAGAACTTGGATTAGGGATAATGAAGAAAAAGAGTGCAGGTAGTCCTCGATTTACAACAGTTCACTTAGTGACCATTTAAAGTTACAACGGCACTGAAAAATGTTTTTCAATGTTATGACCTTTGACTGTTTTTCAAAGATATGATCAAAATTCAGGTGCTTGGCAACTGGTTCATATTTATGACAATTGCTATGTTCCAAGATCATGTGATCACCTTTTGCGACTTTATGACAAAGTCAGTGGGGAAGCCAGATTCACTTAATAACCGTATTACTAATTTATCAGCTGCAATGATTCACTTAACAACAATCATTTTGGAAGCCATCAACCTAGTCAACACTGAACCATGATTTGTTGAATAAGACACTTGGTCATATTCAAGCCACATCTTGAGATGAAGCATGAGTTCGTGTTAAGCTAAGCCAATCTATATAACAATCTGAGCATGAAATACATTTTTTTTTCTTTTGCTTCCATTGAATCCAACTGATTTATAAAAGATGCTATCTTTCTAGTTGGGTTTACACAATGGGTTATTACTAGATCCCAGTCACCTGATTATGTGCCATCAAATTTGTGCTAATTGTTAGTGACTGCATAGATTAATTCAGGATGATCTGTCCCCATCTTGTTCCTTCTGATCACAAGAAAACTGATAAAAATGAAATAATGGTAGTACATTATTGTGGTTCTTTGATCACTGATTCATTCTTATAATGGTAAATCCTATTGTTTTCAAATGTTTGTTATTTACTTGTAGAATACAGGTGTCAATCTCGCCGCGCCATGTTGCTGTCATGTGATGTTTCTTGACGTTTTCCCATTTGCGGAACTGGGGTGGGCATGATCTCCACATGACGTATCCAGCCTGCGGGCCTCCAGTTTGACATCCCTGCTGTAGAAGAATAAAGGCAAACTTTAAGCACTATGAATTCATAAATGGTAAATATGCTGCATACACTACAAATTGTATGGACAGCAAAAAGTCTGTGATTCATTAGGACAGAAGGTGAAGGTCTAGTTTAACCACACTTTCCTGCATTACTTTTGTTCTACAGCTGGCTGTTTTCCATCCCATGAGATAGAAAGATGAGTTAATGACATAGAATCACATTAACTAATATCAGTCATTTGCCCTGTGCTATGCACATCAAATCACTGATTTAAAAATGGGCTGAGAAGAAATTACGTTTCTTCCCTCCTAGCAAAAATATCTGCTTTCCCCCTTACCACAGAACAGCAGCACTTTTCCCTCTCCCTTCCAAAAAATAGCCTTATTAATACCATCATTTGACATGTGTTGAAGGAAGAAAAATCTCGTCTAATAATATTTGCATGACAATAATAGAGTTACTAGACATATTGCTATTATATTTTTATCATGCTTATTAAAATATATTTTGGTCATTTCAAGGCATCAAACATACCTAATCCCTTGCCTCCAATTTTCTCCACAACAATCTGTGAGGTGGACTTTGCTGAAGGTGACTGACCCAAAGTCACCAAGCCAGATGCTTTATGATACAGTGTATAATTGGGGCTTTAAAATATTTATTTAAAACTGTATATGACTGCCTTATATGCAGTCATCCTAGGTAACCCACAAAAGATTAGCAATAACTATATCATCTGTACCAGAAACATGCTTCCCACCATAGCACCATAACATCCATCTGTTCAAAAAATATTGGCTTATCCTCATCCTGGTCTAATGTTTGGTGGAAGAGATAGTTCTTCAACACTTTTCAGAAATCTAAAAGGGTACAGACCAGGGGTGGGATTCTACCAGTTCTGTCCGGCTCTGTAGAACCGGTAGCTCTGAAGAGCAGCAGACATAGAACCGGTTCTATGTCTTCTGATGTTTTGGCCCACCCACCTGCCCGGGCTCTTACCTGACCTTTATTTCCTGCTTTTTCAAGCTCACCTGCTGTGCGAGGCACAGCTGCAGTTGAAAAGCAGGAAAAAAGTGCTGTTTCAAACGCTGCTTCTCTGCACTCAGCGCTGGTCAGTTGTCCAGGCAGCAGGCTGATGATGATTTACAGGCACGTGCAGGGAAGCACACCGTAAATCATCAAACCTCGTAAATCACTGAACCGGTAGTTAACCCTGTCGGATCCCACCTCTGGTACAGACCCTCTGAATATCAGATGAAGAGCTATTCCAAAGGGTAGATGAAGAAGGCACTGCTCCAAGGTCTCACTAGAAGACAACATTTAAGAGAAGAGATCTAGGGCAGTGCTATTTAATGTGGTGGAATAGGCAGATATCCTTAGAGAAAAGACCCACAAATGATCTAATTCTGGCCATTCAAAGCTTTAAAGGTGAGTACCAACATCTTGAATTGCAACTAGAAAGAAGCCAGTACAAAATTGTTTGACATATTGTGATGTAAAAACCAATTGTGGTTTATTTATTTACAGTTAAATACAAATGTCCCAGGCCATTTAAATCTCACCAGATCTAACCTAAAAATATTTTAATTTGTATTTCGTCCACTGCAATTCTACAGTTATAGCTGGCTTTAAGTATACTTGTCTCTATATAAATAGGAGAAGGTTTAATCTGAATCAGGTTTATCTAGTTAGATTGCTCTTTGGGATGTTTGTATCCTGTTTAAATGAATTAATAACTATTATATTTATATATTAATTAATCTGTAAAGTGTAAAGATTTTGTGGAGTACGTTCTGTTGAACTTATTGGATTTACTTCTAAATGATGGGCAAATGTAATACACAATAATTGTTTTTTCAGCAGTGTAACTATCCACAAGCCCACTTTTTCTCTTGGATCACTTACAAATTAATTTCAGTGATAGTCTAGAGCCGTGATGGCGAACCTATGCCACGCGTGCCGGAAGTGGCACGCAGAGCCATTTCCCCCGGCATATGAGAGGTCGCCCGGAAGAGCCACACGGCGCATGCACACACGCCACCGTCGCCCGACAGTGATTGTCAGGTGGGGGGGGAGTGTACAGGAGACATGCACGCATGCACAGAGATGCACGGCGCATGGAGGAATTGCACATGCATGCACAGATGGATGGCGCACGGGGGTGATCATACATGCATGCGCAGAGGTGCATGGCACATGGGTATCGTGCATGCATGCGCAGATGCTTGGTGCACAGCGGGGGAATTGCGTGTGCAGATGCAGAGACACATGGTGCGCAATGGGGGAATCGTGCACATGCACAGATGTTGGAGAATTGACAGATCTTGCTACAGATGCACAATATTTTTTTAAAAAAAGGAAAAGATAAACTATCACCTCTTTTGTACTTGAGATGATAAAATGCCAACATTCCCTGTTGAAAAGGGTAAAGACAAATCTCTTCAAACCATGGGGACAAGGCAACTTTAAAAAGGAATTAAATAGAAAATACAGTGCTCCAGGTAGACCATAAGATGATGTTCCCCATGTCAATTTTTTAAAAATCATTGCAAAGAGATTGGAGCAGATTTTCAAAATTATTGTTCCAGATATCAGAAGATTATAAAAAGAAATTTCCTCATATACAATCTGAATTACATTTTAAACCTTGAAATGCTCAAAATTATATTGAGCTTGTAATTGAGTAATAATAGCTATAATGCAGAGAGGGAAACATACAAATTCTTTCCTATATCTGTTACCTATTCTTCCAGTAATAGTACTTCAAGCCTCCTTTCTTTGCTTTAATTTTCCTGCACACCCCTTTCCCCCAAAAATTCCAAACTTTAATCTGAGACTCTAAGATTCATATTTTCCTCTTTCCTCAACCCAGCAATTGCTGCCTTGGATTTAAATTTTCTGACCCCCAAATAGGAGAGGCTGGAATATCTTTCCCTTGTAAATTTATAGACTGTCTTAAATGTTAAGGTGGTCAGCTGGGAAGGCATACAGCTAATCCTTGATTTACGACCACAACTGAGCCCAAAATTTTTGTTATTAAGTGAGTTTTGCCCTATTTCTGTGATGGCAAACCTAAGGCACACATGCCAGAAGTGGCACAAAGAGCATCTCTCTGGGCATACCAGCCAGAAACTGGAAGATCAGGTGGCTGGCACACATGTGCGTGCTGGAAACTGAAAAGTCAGCTTCCCAGCACGCACATGTGCGCCGGGGAACTGCTCTTCCAGTTTTCGACGCTCTCAAAAAACATAAATCACCGAACTGGTAGTTACACCAGTCAGATCCCATCCCTGCCTTAAAACTTCATCCCTGATTACCTTCTCACACTCAGA